ACCCCTCTGCTGGGAGGAGAGGCTGGGAGAGCTGGGGCTGCTCAGCCTGGGGAGGAGAAGGCTCTGGGGAGACCTTAGAGCAGCTGCCAGGGCCTGAAAGGGGGCTTACAGGAAAGATGGAGCAAATACTTTCAGCAGGGCTTGTTGCGATAGGACAAGTAGTAATGGCTTTCAACTAAAAGAGGGGAGATTCAGGCTGGATCTAAGGAAGAATTTGTTTATGCTGAGCGTGGTGAGACCCTGGCCCAGGTTGCCCAGCAAGGTGGGAGGTGTCCCATCCCTGGAACCATTCCAGGCCAGGTTGGGCGGGGCTCTGAGCACCCTGACCTGGTTGAAGATGTCCCTGTTCTCTGCAGGAGGGTTGGTCTAGATGACCTCTAAAGGTCCCTTCCAACCCAAAGCATTCTATGATTTTATGATAATTAGTTTCTAATGCTGTCTGCCCTGACAGAGACAGTCAGGTTTGCCTTGTTTGTCGGGGTTACCAGGACTGTTCCCTTGGGGTGCTGCGCGTCACGCTCCGGATCTGACTCTGGAGCCCGTGCCTTTACACTGTCTCTTCTTCCCCTGCCACAGGTGATCCCTGCTCACTGCATCTTCGCCAGTAACACGTCTGCCCTCCCCATCAGCCAGATTGCTGCTGCTAGCAAGAGGCCGGAGAAGGTGAGCACCCGGTGCCACGTGCCTGCTGTGAGTCTGCTCTGCGCTGAGCTGCCTCTTAGTGGCAAACTGGCTTTGCTGTAGGCGAGCGCTGGGGTCTGCTGCTTCCTCCTCAGAACGTGGTTCAGCTCATCCTCTGCCCCCAGTGCAAGCTTTGAACAAAGGGCTTGTGGTTCTTGAATTCCAGCTGGGAAGACTTCAGTCATTGTGATAAACTGATTAGATGTAGGAGTGGCTTGCCACCATGGGAAGATGTCTTCTCCTTGTTCTCAGAGAAGGCACAAACCCAGTGGCAAAAAGGGACGAGAAGTCAGTGGCTGGAAGCTGACCTCGGAGGTGCTGAAACCGAAGCCTTGGTCAGCCTTGGGATCAGCTCCTGAGAGCGGGGTGGTGGGGTTTGCTCTCTGGCTGCAAATGATCCACGTGAAAGGATACCAAGAGCGACATAGCTTGCGGCAGAGGTTTGGAGCAGAAAACTCCTTCATCCCTTTGCTTGAAGTCTAAACACCATGTAAAGTAGCTGCATCCTCATCCCTTAGTCCAGGCAAGCACAGCTGAGCAGGAGCACTGCTTCGTGAGGAGCAGCCTGCCCCGAGGAGCGTGCTTGGAGGAGTCACCATAGAATCGCTGAGGTTGGGAAAGACCTCTAAGTTCATCAAGTCCAGCCATCCACCCAACACCTCCTGCCTGCTAAACCATGTCCCCAGGTGCCACATCCACACGGTTTTTGAACTCCTCCAGGGATGGGGACTCCCCCACTGCCCTGGGCAGCCTGTTCCAGTGCTCCGTCACCCTCAGAGGGAAGAAGTTTTTCCTCATGTTC